TCATCCGTGGGATTTGAACCCTAGACCTGCTACTTGGAGAGGGTGACGACTTGACCACTTCACTAAGCTGCCACACCCCTCTATTATGCTAATTTTTATAAACTTTAAAAGGATTTTTGATTATTTTTAATTGTGGAGTTTTACCATTCTAATAAAAATTTCTATTTACTTATTTCTTGTTTGTTCGTAGTAATTATATTTTTTTATTAAAAAAAGTACTTTAGGCTTTATAAATAATGTAAACTTAAATCGATTTGAGTTGTTAATTATACGAATGTGTGTGCTTGTGATGTTTAATGTATAAGTTACGTGTATTTATGATTTAATTATTGTTTGAAGGTGTATTCTATTATGAAATTATTACCGTGAATATATTTCTTAATCTGGTTATGATTGTATTATTGTGGTTTGTTCGCTTATTTATTTTTGGTAGGATTATTTATTGTTTGTATCATTATGATTCAATTTTTTGCACTACGTTATTTTTGTTATTAATTTTTATATAATTATGAGAGAACAGTAACTGTTATTTTTTTTTATATATAATTTGCGTGTATATATACATATTAAAGTAAAGTTAAATTGTTTTATATATAGATATATATATTGTTTTATGTATATATTTAAATATTTTTTGATTTTTTGATGGTTTTGTATTTTTGATTTTAGATTTGATTTTTTTTGTTTTGTAAAGTTTTTCAATATTGTGTTATGCAGATACGATTGTTAGAATTAAGTTGATGAGGCAGCATGTAAAAGAAGAAGCTAATTTGTTAGTTGTGTGGGCTCTGGATACATATCCAGTGGAGCGTGAAGATTATGATATGAGTTGTGTTTGTTTATGCCAAATAATTTGGATGAAAGTGATTTTGAGACTCAGGCTGTTTTTGTGAAGGATGGTTTTTTCTCTGTCAGAGGTAAAATTATTCCTGGGTTTTATGGAGGAAAGAAAAGGATGAAGGTATTAGATATTTTATTTATTATTTTATTTTCTTTATATTTATTGAATTTAATAATTATTTTAATTTTAGATGATGGTCTCTATGTCTACTCACATGACGATTTTAAGTAAAGTTGCTGCGTCAAATAAATGCCTGTTAAAAGTATTTCTTGTTGGAGTTCCTTAAGAAATTCCAAAAGAAATAAAAGATGATGCTATTGTCCAAGTATTGGTAACTGACTATGCCGGTCAAGAACATAATTTTGTTATGAAGGTCGTTTTTTCGTGTTATAACTTGTGTTTTGTTTACTTGAAGGATAATATTCGACCTCATGAGTCACTCATTTTTGTCGTGGGACAAATGGAAATTATTAATAATGAGTTCTATGTTTATGCAAATTAGAGTTCCTACAAACCTGGATCAAACCAAACTTTAAACCAAGTTTGGGTTTGATTTGATTTTCAAATCAAACCCAATTTCAAACTATTGTTAAAAAAATATTTGAGTTTGATTT